ACAATTTTGAGATGTGTATTTGTGTGGATGAATGTGGTATCGCAAATTTTACATTTAAACGGAGGGTCATTGCTCGGAGGCTAGAGAGGGGGTATACATGTGTGTGTATGAGTGACGCGATGTGTGTGTGAAGGACCTCCGGCGGGGTTTTACAGGTGTAACTGTGTCGGTAGCATGTTTAAGACGCCGCGATTCGTGGGATAGGAATTATTCAAGATCAATTTCTATTATTTCCTGGATTTTTGCGGAACTTGGAGGGAACATTGTAAAAAAATGGTGGACGGGAACTAAGCGGATATCATCTATATAAGAGAACTTAACTGGGAGGAGTTTTCTAACTGGAGTGGTGGTTATTACTCGGAAGATTTTGGAAGGATCTGTTGTCAGAGGGTCAAGGACAAAGGGGATTCTTACCGGATTTGCTTTTTTATAGGTGGATACTAATCGGAGAAAGTGTTGAAATCTAGGATCGAGCGGAGAGGTGGTTAATCTTGTCGAATCGGAGGATTCATCATCTGCGGGTTCATCTTGTAATGTAGATGGTTCGGGGGAAGGAGAGCGAGGGGGAGGTGGAGGAGTCGGGGCGGATTGCAGATCCGCGGGATTTTCTGCGGGAGGATCGGGGGTTACAGGTGAATAAGAGGGAGTTTCATACCACGAATCGTCGTGTGTATGTGTATCTGTGTGTGCGTGTTCCGAAGGTGTCGGTGAGTGTGAGTGCGCGTGCAATTGATTTATATGTATATCGGTGGGGTTTTCTATCCTATCGCCGGAATTGTCTCCTAATGTCGAAGGGGAGGTGGCGTCAATGGGCCTGGTCGGCTCCGCTTCGTTTTGCGCGAGCGCTGCCGCTCGTCGCAATTTTTGACTTTGTCGGTGCCGCCAGTGCCGGCGGTTGGAATGCGAACGGTGGGGTTCCACTTAAACGGGAGGTTCTCTTAGCGAGTTATTATTTATTGTAAAAATGTGGACGAGTTTAACATTCGGAACTGATTTCTCATTCTGCTGACATCAGAACTTGATCAAAGAAGAGTTGTCAAAAAAAAGGAAAAGGGGGAAAGAGTTAACTCTCTCTCTCTGCCGGTTGCTATTCACGACTAGAGTCGCGAACTGCCCTCCCAGCGAAGGTGGTCGAATGAGGAATTGACTCCTCGGCCGGTTGCTATTCACGACTAGAGTCGCGAACTGCCCTCCCGGCGAAGGTGGTCAAGTGAGGAACTAACTCTTCGGCCGGTTGCTATTCACGACTAGAGTCGCGAACTGCCCTCCCAGCGAAGGTGGTCAAATGAGGAATTGATTGTGGAAAAGTAAAAGAGTATATTCTCGCGATGCTTTTAGGCGGTTATGCGTCACTGGTAGGTTCCGAGTATTATCCTCGAGTTAGATTTTTAACTAGTAGAACTCCCGATTAAAATTTGTGGGTGGACTTACTACTTGCTGCTACTGGTGGTGCGATTTCCTTCACCCCCTTCGGCCCGTACGGCTGGCTAGGTAGTTCAGTGGATTCTCGGCACACTGGTTGCACTTGCACTTATAACTTGTATGCGTCGCGACTTTGCTGCGGCACTCCCGGCAGAATCAGTAAGTTTTTCTGGATACGCGGCGCGATTCTTTCTGAGTTTTCGATTCCAAGAGCCCTGGCTTATATACCGTTTTAGTAAGCGAGGACTCTCCCAATCGGGAACTCAGTTGAGCTTTGCTGGTTCCTATTTGTTAATTAGTCGGTCGGGCGACTTGCGAGATCGCCAATCGGCGACGATCTCTCGCTTCGGTCGCCTCGTCCGATTTTTCGGAGAAGGAAAAAGGAAAAGTGTTGTCTTTTCGACAATGCCGCATAGACTCCTTGTTGTTTGTAATAAAAATGCCGGAGTTTCTATTTGCGCCGGCCGTTCTAATTTTTATGACCGGCGTTTTCATGACCCGGAGATATCCGGGTTTGTTTGGAAAGCTGCTCGAATAGTTATCTAAAATTTTGTGTTATTGCTAGGCGCAGTTTATCTTTCCGGACGCCATTATGGTTTTCGTTTGTTCTCCTATCGTCTGGAGTTTTAAGTTTCCAAACGATAGGAGACCCGTTCGAATTATTTATTATTATTGACCAGAAAAAAAGGGTTGCTATGCGCTGGCGCGTCGCGTCGCAGGAAAAAGGGGACCGTGGAGTCTCCAGGACGTAACAATATCTACGGCTGTTTCCTTTCTCGCTTTCAATGCTGATTTTATTACACAAGTAGCATTAACAGTGACAAACGAAAGTTTATTTCGTTTTTTTGTCTTTATATCTGACAAGAAAGAAAAGATTCTTTCTGAATCGGCATTTGAATTTGGCAGCGATCTAACGGCATTTAAAAGAGATTTTAAATTGGGATATTTATGTGTACGTTGGAAAATTTGTTTCCACATGTCATCAAAATTTAATGTTGACAAATAACATTTTTCTGTTTCTGTTAAACTCTGATGTAAAGCAAGCCATTCTTTTCTTAAACTATTGTCGTCAAATTCACCAAAGATTTGGGCGACAAAAGAAACGTCATTAAAAAAAACTTCTCTATTACTATTATATAAAGCTATGTTTGATTCAAAAACTTTTAATTTTGATAAAAATATGTCGTTTATTGGTAATTTTTTACAAATATCTTGGGCTGCAGTAACGTAAAATTGCAAACAATTTTCTCTAACATTTGCAACTACGTTTGCGTGCCCTTGTTTGATTAATGCTTCAAGATATTTTTCACACTCACTTCCTAAGTTTACTTTGCTTAAAGATTTATGATTTTCTTTAGTGGAAAAATCAAAATTATTATTTATATTACGTAAAAGCTCTGGATTAAAAAAATGTTTACATATAATATTTAACAATTCGAATGATTTTGGTTGTAGTTTTTGTATGCTTGTTTCTAGAGCTTGAAAAAATGCGTTAAAACAATTAAAGAAATGTAAAATATGTTTTAAAAATAATAAATATGCTTTTACATCAGGTTTGTGCATCACAGATAATAAATTTTCTCCAGTCTGCGTTTTATCACTTACTACTATTTCTGTTAAAAAAATTATTAATAATATCCCAAAATTTTAAAATTCTTTCAATACACAAATGTCGAAAAAGCCATCGTCGCACAACTTTAGAATTTTGGTGTTTGTTTCTTCAAAACATTCACCAAATTCTTCAAAAATAGCAGATTGCTTAGGACTATTATTAATAAAACTGGCTTCTTTCTTTACGAATTCCTCACAATAGTCTGGAATCTTACTACATGCAGCATTAGCAATTAGCACAGAGGCATGACAAGGACATGGAAATGTTAATAAATTTTTGCACATTGTCTCAAGCTTTGTTTTAAATAACGAATATTTGCCCGTTATAACAGACGCGTTGTCACACGACAAGGCAACAATGTTTGAAAATGGAATTTGAAGTTTCCACAATTCACATTTAAACGCATCAAATAATTTTTCTGCGCTGCAATCTTTTGTATTGATATCAATTAATTTGATTAATTGCGAGGAAATATCTAATGTTTCGGGATTAACATACCGAACAAGAAACGTCATCAGTAGTATGTGGGCACTTATGACGCGTCAAACCAAACCCCTTTCACCTGGCCCCCCCCATTACTTCTGGCGCCATTGCTTCCGTGGCTAATCACCACCAGGGTGGTTTTCCCCCTTGGTGGTGATTGGCCACGCCCACTGGAGGGGATGGAAAAGTGACATAATTTATGACCCCATAAATTTTTTATAAATTTTTATAATTTTCTAAAAATGCGTATTTTAAATTTTTTTGTTGAGGAATTTGTGTGGGAGGAAAGTTCGAGAATGTTCTCGAGTAAAAGAATTCTTTATTAAAAGAGTATATATTTATTTAAAAATCCGTTTTGAAGCGTGGCTGGTACTGGCAATGGCGGCGCTCCGATTGCCTCGTGCGTTCAAACGTGTATTAGAGCAAGTTGGCGTCGGTTGAGTGAGGAAGTATAAGAGCGGGAGTGGCATCGGTCCCGAGAAGAATCAATCAGCGTCTGGGCACTTATGGCTCCCAATGAGCGAGGTTCAGGGGTAGTTGATGGGGATGATAGAGCCCCCAAGGAAGGACCAATGAGCGTCTGGGCACTTATGGCTTCTAATGAGCGAGGTCCAGGGGTAGTTGATGGGGATGATAGGGCCCCCAAGGAAAGACCAATGAGCGTCTGGGCACTTATGGCTCCCAATGAACGTAAAGCATAGTTGAGGGCGTCTAGGCAAAGTAGAAATCGAAGCAGGCGACTGTGACTAGAAAGTCAGGGATGTAATATAAAAAATGAATTTATGTGTCCGGATTTTTTCTGAACGATTTTCATGTGCGCGAACTTGTACGTGCGGGTTGACACGTGCGTGCCGATGAGAACATAAGTTTTTTTGAAGACAAAAAACGGTTTATGACTCGGAACCGTTAAACCTGCGCGTACTTGTTCGCGCGAGAAACTTCGAGAAAATTCTACGAAACTTTTCGATGGATATTCAATGTAAACTAAAATGTTTATAAAAATGTGTGAGGAGTTTAAGAATAGGTTTCTTGGGAAGAATAACAAAAACCAACTTAGTACAGTTATTTGATATAGATATATTTTGAATACATAAAAGAAAATACAAGATTACAGTTGATTATTTTTTTTTGTTTTACAAGTACAGTGTGTAATATAGTGTTCTGAAAAGCGGGTTTGTACATTGTTGGATTTTGTAAAAAATATTTTACGAAATAAACATACAATTAATTTGTCGTTGGCGTCGAAATTTTTGGAAAACAGTTGTAAAAATTAGGAAATGTTATACCCGTGAGCCATAAAATAAAGAAACACACAGCAATAATGCCCGCACGTTTGCGAGAAATATCCTTGAAGTTGAGTCGTGTTCTATGTGTGCGTTGCGGAATTTCTTCGAAGTCGCAGAAGGAAGCGGAAATCTGACGACGATATTTCATAGCTGTCAAAGTAGATGGCGTGTCTGTTTCCATCGAGGAAGAAGGCAACTCAGTGGGTTCCTGGTTGTTTGGGATTGTCTGTGTTAGCGACGATTGCTGTCCACTTCGTCCACACCCTGAGCAATCTGTCGGCTGGATAAACTCCCGTGTGTCCAGATATTTGCAGGTGTCGCATCGATTTCCAGAACACTGTCGAATTCCGCATAAACAAGACAGTTAATAATCGTTTCGAGAGCTTTTTCGAACCGTGCTTCAATTCGCAAACTACCGTGCTTCACGAGATTCTAATGTTCGACGCAATTGGCCGATAAATCGGGTGTGAGATCAAAAGCGAAGAGTGTGTATCCGTGTGCATAAGCATCTCTGCTTATAGCATTGCCTTCGTTTAGAAAATGAATACCCGTTTCTGAGAAAAGAGTATGAAAAGCCTCGATGTAGAAAGGAGAGTCTCTTGAAATAGAAGGTTGTAACGGTCTAGTAGGAACTTGCATTCCATCGATGTAAAGCGACAGGAAATTTATATTAAAGTTTTTAAAATTAAACGGATTAAGTTTATTATCGCCGGTAAACGCCTTATTTTCGACAAAACCGATTATCACTCGCTTTGTCAGTTGCCCGAGTATGGCGTTGTCAATTGATTCCCTCACCACTCCTCTATGGATTGTAAACGATTTAACTTCAACTCTCGTGAGAAGATACTTTGCAGTGGTTTTGCTCAGCTTTTTAACGTGAGCTAATACAACTCCAGCGCTTAGTTTTGCTCTCCTCATGATCAAGGTGGCGTCTACAATACGAACTCTTGTCTGTGGCGTAGATTCCATGAGACAGAAATAATCCTTCGAGCGGATGAGTCTTAGGCGCATTTCCACGCCATTAATCAAGAATTTATCCTGATTGAAAACGTCGCAATGTAGATGTCTTATGAGATCCACAGCACGGTTATTTTTGATATACTACATACGTCTCACGAGAGCGGGGTTCTCAGTTGGAGCATCGAAGCCATCATCCATCAGCCCCGGAGGATCGCTATCCCATAAACAGGTGGTGAGATGAGAGGGTTTTACCTCTGAAGAATAATTCAACAATGTCTCGAAATAGGCTCGATACGCGTAAGCATTGTTCGGAGGCGACACAAGCTTTTGATTGAAGTACACATCAATTTGATTGAACATAGAATGTAAAAAGTTATTTCCAGGCCCTACTTTATGCTCTGCAGCAGCAGAAGCCGAAGTAGCCGGAATAACCGCTGCGGGGGTTTGCAATATCACGCGAAGACTGAGAAGAGTATGCGCGAGATCTATGTAATCTTTGCCATGTCCCGGTACGACAAACTTCACGGGAGCGTCGTCCGCAA